CTCCTCCGTACCATGATAAGTAGTCAGTCGTTCGTTCGAAGGAGCTCGTCACCATATGCTCGAGGAATTTGCAAAGCAAAGGAAGCTGAGAAAAATAGATAGAGGTAATTGAACAAAAAATAGTAATGGCTGAGAATAAGCTAAAGTGCAACATGGACTAGCATAAAAAAAAAAAGTGTACTTGCTCAATGCCAAGGGCAAACACAAGCCTGCGGTCCCTCTCCTCAATGGGCTCGAGCGAGATCTGCTTAATCACTCCATCTGGGCGCATGTACATAATCTCGATAGGGAGCACAGGCAATCCAGGAATGGGGGCAGCGACAGGCGCACCTCCAACGGGCACATCGCCAGTCCCAGTAGGAGGAGCAGCAGTAACCTCTGGTACAGCTCGAGCAATGCCCGGGGTAAGAGAGGCCATCACCCGAGTGCGTAAGAAAGTGATAAAGTCGCCAGGCTCGTGGTGACGATTGCCATCCTCACCTATCATCAAAAGGTCTAGGTCAGGACCATCTTGTAAATCATCTACTATCCTCATACCAGCAGAAGGAGGATGTGGAACATCAGGGTTAGCAACGCCCTGAGTTTGGCAGATGAATCTCTCTCCCAGGTAGTATGGTCGGCTAAAAGGTCCCTTAAACAGGATCCTCAGCGTGGAAGCATGCCAGACAGCGGTATAGGTCGCCCTCGACACGTGGGGAATGCCTGCCCAAGGGTGCCAGTCGACTTGAGAAAATCAGTGCAATGTCAGAATGGTAATGTGGTGAGAAAATTTGTGTAGTGTCAGAAAATCAATGCAGTGTCAGAATGGCAGTGTGGTGAGAAAATCAGTGCAGTGTCAGAAAATCAGTGCAATGTGAGAATGGCGATGTGGTACAGTGCAACAGTACAATAGTATAAGAAAGATCATATAATGTGGGAAATGGTGCAATACTTGATTCGCTGTGATAGTGTCGAAGAAACGGCGAAAATATGGAAAGTTACGATCCACAAGGCAACGTCACTCCAATCGTGAGTTGTAGTACCAAGAGCATGGTACGGACAACTTGATCGGCCTCACTGGAATTGGGGCCAATAAAGTAAAGTAGGTGTAGACCTAAAGCTGTAAATCAAAGACGGATAGATGGCATGAGAAAATAGATCAAATGACTAAGAAATGCAACAGTGAACAGAATATAAAGTGCATCAGCAAGATGAGTGTAGGATGTGCCTCACAAACCCTCCAGTAGCCACTAAGTGAATCTGCCTTGCGGCGGGAAATGGAGCTCATATAGCAGTATAAGGTGGCTAAACCTGCACCGCCCTAGTCGTAATTTGCTACCCAAGGAAGATATACCAGTGCCCCGAGGGAGTATAATCCCACGGTATTCTCCCTATTTGCAAACAGGGTAGTACCGAGGAGATATGCTAGAATGCTGCGAGTGTACTGAGCTACCTCGTTTGCAGTAACCGGCTGTGTATCGGAGAAATGGTTATAAAACTAATGTCTGAAATCGCCCGAGAATATGGAGCTATGTATCTCTCCACTGAGTCATATTTGGCTCGAAAGGGACCGAGCCACCGACCTCAACCTGTAGACCGGTCAACATCGAGAAATCATATAGGGTCAGTGTTATCTCCCCAGTAGAAGAGAAGTGAAATGAGCTGGTGGTGTCCCACCATCTCTTTACCAGGGCCTTGTAAAGCAAAGACTCAGCCCTCATCTCTGAGTCCGGAGCAAAAGGGCCCAAAGTCAGCAATATCTACCAACGTGCGGACCTCCGTGGGAAGCCGCTCGTACTAACGCCGGGGGCCGAAGATAGAGCCATAGCCGCCTACCCTCCTGGAGATCACCTATCAATTGAGAGTTTTATCAGTGTATGTGCAGCATGGGTAAGTGATTTGTGCATCAAGTTTAACATTTCAACGTACGTGTAAAGTAAAACGCAAAGCAAAATGGATAAGGAGTTGTGTACCGTGGAAGCATCAGCAGAGATATGCTCCATGGGCTCTCGTAGTAAAGTATCCTTGTCTAGCCCGGGAATGAAACCCTCGAATCTCAGGATGCCGCCAAGAGGTGGCATGTGTGTACGTGGTCGGTATGTGGCCGCATCGAAAGGCCTCTCGGCAAGAAGAAGTAATGCAGCGGCTTCCTCTGCCTCTATATCTGCGTCAAGGGCAGCGCAAATACCTATGGCAGGCTCTAGAATGGAAACCTCGTCACTAGCCATGAAAAAAGGTGAAGAAAAGTAAAGGGAATGAGTAAAAGTATGTGAAATCCTAGAGTTTCAAACCCTAAGAGAGAGAAAATGAAGAGGGGATGAAAAATCAAGAGAGAATAAGACAAGATTGGGCAAAAATGTGAGAAAATGATAGAAAACAAAGAGAAAACCCAAACTTTAAGCAAAACAATTTTCAATTGGTTCAAAATTAAGAGGAGAACAAGTTGTTTTAGGAAATATTTGTGAGGTTGTTGTGAAAACTCAATAAAGAGAGGAAATGTAGAGAGAAGGGTGGTTTAGAGAGAAGAATGAGGGTTTTTCGACCTAGAGTGAGATCAAAAATGAGTGTTTTGTGTGTTTTAAGAGCCACGGGTGTGGCGTTTTACCGATCTTGTAATAACCTGACCCTCGTCCATGTTTTCTGATATATTTTCAGCCCTTGTTTTGTGCTTTTAAAATGTTTACTGTGAAATCCCATGAAAAATTATGGTTAAGTGAAATTTCCTAAGGTGGGGAGTTTCTAACACCCGCATCCTTTAAATCCTTTGGAGAGTGTATGTAATTCTCTTATTTTCATTTTGGGAGTCTTTGGAGTTGTGAATGTTGGTTTTGTAGGAGTGTAATCCGATTTAATCTTGTTGGGTATGGTTGTTCACATTTGTTCGGGTTAAAAGTTCCTCGGAAACTTAGAAATTTTGCCTTAGGGTCGACACTAGCCTTCTTAAGGGTCGACCCTTGCATGTTGTAATGTTCCTGGGAGTGCCGCTGGAAACTAGGGTTGACACCAGCCTTGGTGGTGTCGACACTTCCCTCTTGTTGCTGCCCACAAGGGTCGACACCATTCTGGGAAGGGTCGACCCTTGTTTATTGCAGAATCGGTGTGTGTTGGTTGCTGGAAATTAGGGTTGACCCTGTCCTGTCTAGGGGTCGACATCATGCTTGGTGCACAGATTATTTTTCTTCTTAGAGGGTCGACACCTCTGCCCGAAGGGTCGACCCCTGCGTGTTTTTTTTTTCCAGATTTTTGGGCTGGTTTGGGCCTTACTTTTGAGGGGTTTTGGGCCCATTATTTTATTGGCCTTAGGGCTACATCTCTACTACTATAAATAGGCTCAAAACATATTTTCATTTCATTTTTCTCCTCTTTCCTCTCTCTCAAACCGTGAGTTCTTCTCTCTCTCTCCAAACTCAAGCTTTGGCACTAAGATCTCTAGATCTACTCACCTAGAGTGTTTGTTTCACCGTGGTCCTTTGAGAAAAAGTGTAGATCTCGTCAAAAGCTTCCTTTAGGTCCGATTGGTTCGCGGCTTCGTCGCCTTTGGTTTTTGGGTCGTCATCTCTTGGCTTCAAAAGGACACACTCCGGGAGGAAGTAGCACGTCATCACAACACTGTGAGTAATAGTATACGGAATGTACATTTACTTACCGTTAATATCTGTTATGACCATTCTGTTTTCTGCTAGTTGTTCTGTATATTTCTGGGCCGAAAGGCTGTTCAGTATATTTCTGGGCCGAAAGGCTGTTCAGTATATTTCTAGGCCGAAAGGCTGTTCTGTATATTTTTGGGCCGAAAGGCTGTTCTGTATACTTCTAGGCCGAAAGGCCATTCTGTATTTCTGGGCCAGTAGGCCGTTCTGTTATAACTAGGCCCAAGGCCGTTCTGGAAAATAAAACAGCATCAGACTAACTACTTGGAATCCACTTTTGTGTATGCACTGTTCTATATTATGATTTAAATTGAACATTAAACTGTTTACGTGTCGTTATTCACTGAGCTTGTCTCACTCTGTAACTTTTGTCTGATTCTGTAGGTAGCCAACGTGGAGGTCAGTCCTAGCGTCAATATTATCTATGTTTTGTCAACCTAAGGACAACCAGGCACTTGGAGAAGCCCTTTGCATACTAATGCAGTTTTGCTAGATTTTGTCATTTTGTACTAATGTTTTGTTGGTCAAAGTTGATTGTATCTAACATTTTGTCGTATGCCCAACCTCTGGGCTGGACTTGTATTCTTTTGTGTATGTAACTTAATCTCGGATGCATGTTCACTATATGTTTAATTTCGAGACGTGGTCTTGGCAGTTTGGTAGTCGCTCAATGGATGTGTCTGCATGTTATTTTATTATTAACGCTTCCGTTCAGGCCCCAGATATTTTTATACAACAGGATTAGTGTCTGTTTCTGGGTAGGTCATGCCTGGAATTTTAGGGGCAAGTTTGGGGTATGACAAGTGGTATTAGAGCACGAGTTGCTATCTCACACACAGATCCATTGAGCCTTAGGATGTCTAGAAAGATGTAGGCATCATGTGGTAAAGGAAGATTGATAGCAACGTTAAATGTTTTCTGTTAATGCTAATGATGATGACCAATGTCTATTGTATTCTTTTGTGTATGTTGTACTTGGTTGTTTTATAGACTATGGTGAGAACAAGAACCGAAGATCAGGAAGATGCTACCTCAGCACGGTTGGACAGGATGGAAAGAATGATTATGGAAATGGCGGAAACTCTACGACAACAACAACGGCAACAACAGCCACAGCCGCCGCCACCACCAGTACCCCCACCTATAGTGCAAGATTTTCACACTGAGGACCGCACCATTACACTTACAAAGGAGTTTAAAAAAATGAAACCACCATCATTTAAAAGAGGAATTGAACCAATGAAGGCTGAGGCATGGGTGTTAGGGATAGAGAAACTGTTCGAAGTTTTCCCTTGCACTGAAGATCAAAAGGTGCAACTAGCTGCTTTCACTCTTGAAGATGAAGCACAGAGGTAGTGGATGCTTACAAGAACAATGCATCAGGGGTTGACATGGGACAGGTTCTTGGTGTTGTTTTATGATAAATATTTTCCCCAGAGTATGCGAGACAAGAAGGTGACTGAATTTGAAACACTGAGACAAGGAAACAAAACTGTTGCCGAATATGAAGCTCAATTCACAGAACTAGCTCGGTTTGCACCTCACATGGTAGATACAGAATATAAGAAGGCGCGGAAATTCGAAGGAGGATTGCGGGGTACTATTCTGGACCGAGTTAATGTGTTGAAATTGCCTACCTACGTTGATGTGTTAGAAAGGGCTGTTATAGCAGAAGGAAATATTGCTGCCCAAACTCGGGTTCTTGAATGGAAAGGAAAGAGGCAGAGCAACCAATGGTTCAAGGGGTCTACTACTCCACCAAACAAGAAGCAAAATTCAGGGACCTCCAGCACTACTACTTCTCTTCAAAATTCAGCTCCTGTGTGTCCAGAATGTGGATGGAGGCATCGTGGGATTTGTCACCGATTATCTGGAGCATGTTTCTGATGTGGCAAGATGGGTCATTTGATAAAAGATTGTCCGCAAAAGAATCAACAAAATGGTAATAAGGCTGCTACAAGCTCAGCAGGGTCTGCACCGGCTCCTAATGCCAAGCCAACTGCCAAACTTGCGAACAACAAGGACACTACGAGGCAAGGCAGGGTATTTGCGTTGGTTCCGGGAGATGTACAGAATGCAGCGACAGTGGTGTCAGGTACATTTATGGTTCATGGTCATTCTACTTATGTCTTATATGATTCTGGCTCTACCTGTTCGTTTGTGTCAAAATTATTTGCGAAAAACTTAGATAAACCTGAAGAAGAGTTGACTTATGTGCTATGCGTATCTTTACCTATGGGAAATTCCATGCTCTGTACCTCTGTATAGTCTGCTTGTGAACTTCTAATTAGGGATGTCCGTGTATATGCTAATCTATTACCACTTGATATGACTTCTTTTGATATTATTCTGGGAATGGATTGGTTGAGTGAATATGGTGCCATTACAGACTGTCTGACGAAGCAAATCAGTTTCCACCCTCCAGGACAATCAGAATCTATTTTTCAGGGACAGGGAATAACTCCTCCACCGTATGTGATTTCTGCAGCAAGGGCTTGTAAATTAATTCAGAAAGGGTGCCAGGGATACTTATGCAGTGTTTTGGAGGGGTCAAGAATAAATGAGAATATTGATGCGATTCCAGTTGTCTGTGAATTTCCGGACGTCTTTCCGGAAGAATTGCCAGGAGAATTAGTAGACCGTGAAATTGAGTTCACGATTGAAGTGCTACCAGGAATCCAACCCATTTCTAAAACCCCGTATCGAATGGCACCAGCCGAAATGAGGGAATTGAAGACTCAGTTGCAAGACCTATTGGATAAGGGGTTTATCCGTCTGAGTGTTTCTCCGTGGGGTGCACCAGTTCTGTTTGTGAAAAAGAAAGACGGAACACTCCGATTATGTATAGACTACCGGGAGCTTAACAAAGTAACAATCAAGAATAAGTATCCATTACTGCGGATCGATGATTTATTTGATCAATTACAAGGGGCACAGGTCTTTTCCAGGATTGACTTACGGTCCGGATACCACCAATTGAAAGTTAAAGATGATGATGTTGAGAAGACAGCTTTCCGAACCCGATACGGTCATTATGAGTTTCTGGTTATGCCCTTCGGAGTTACTAACGCACTAGCAGCATTTATGGATCTGATGAACCGTGTCTTCAAACCTCATCTAGATGAGTTCGTAGTGGTCTTTATTGACAATATCCTTATTTATTCAAAGAATGCAGAGGCTCATGAAAACCATCTTCGTTTAATCCTTCAAACCCTCCGAGAAAAGAAGTTGTATGCAAAGCTAAAAAAGTGTGAATTCTGGCTACGTGAAGTGGCATTTCTGGGGCATGTTATAACTAAGGAAGGAATTTCTGTTGACCCAAATAAGATTGAAGCGATCATGAACTGGCCAACTCCTACCAATGTGACTGAGGTGCGCAGTTTTATGGGGTTAGCCGGATATTACCGGAGGTTCGTTCAAGACTTTTCCAAAATTGTTGTACCGCTCACACAGTTGACTAAAAAGGGAGTTGCATTTGAATGGTCGGAACCGCGGGAATCTGCTTTCCAAGAATTAAAAATGAAGTTAACTACAGCTCCGGTCCTTGCACTACCATCTGGTACTGGGGGATTTGTGATTTATAGTGATGCTTCACATAAGGGACTTGGTTGTGTGCTTATGAAAAACGGAAGGGTTATCGCTTATGCCTCTCGACAGCTTAAACCTCATGAGAAAAGCTACCCCACGCATGATCTTGAACTAGCCGCAGTGATTTTTGCTTTAAAGATTTGGTGGCATTACCTGTATGGCACTACATGTGACATTTACACCGACCATAAAAGTCTCAAATACCTTTTCACCCAAAAAGAGTTGAATATGCGCCAGCGGCGGTGGTTGGAACTTATTAAGGATTATGATTTACAGATCCACTATCATCTTGGTAAAGCCAACATGGTGGCAGACGCACTTAGTCGGAAAATGTGGGAAATTTGACAAGTCTATTGACAGAGAAAAAGGAGTTGATAAGTGAGCTGAATAAGATGGGGGTCGACTTGGTGATACATGGTCAGGAAGCTTTAATGGCAGCAGTGATGGCCCAACCAACCTTACTTAAGGAAATTAAATTGCATCAGATAGAGGATGAAGCTCTAAGGAAGATATGTGATGAGTTAGGAACAAAACCAAAGTTGGGATTCAGTTTGGTAGATTCGGTGCTCAAATTTCAAAACCGAATATGTGTCCCCAATGTGTTAAACCTTAAGCAAAAACTGATGGAAGACGCACATACCTCAAGGTTCTCAAGGCATCCAGGGAGTACCAAAATGTACTGAGATTTGAAGCAAAATTTTTGGTGGCCAAGTATGAAGAAGGAGATCGCGGAGTTTGTTTCTAAGTGTTTGCAATGCCAGCAAGTAAAAGCGGAGCATCAAAGACCTGCCGGTTTATTGCAACCCCTCCCCATCCCGGAATGGAAATGGGAACATTTGACCATGGATTTTGTTGTGGGGTTACCACGGACTCATCGGGGTATGAATTCAATATGGGTCATTGTGGACCGATTAACTAAGTCCGCTCACTTCCTACCAGTAAAGACTCAGTATAATGCAGATAAATTGGCGGTAATCTATGTGAATGAAATTGTAAGGCTTCATGGTGTTCCGGTCTCAATTGTGTCAGATAGGGATCCTAAGTTTGTTTCCAGATTTTGGCAGGGTTTACAAGAAGCAATGGGTACAGAACTAAAGTTTAGCACAGCTTTCCACCCTCAGACTGATGGTCAATCCGAGAGAACGATACAAACTCTCGAAGATCTGCTCCGAATATGTGTACTAGATTTTCAAGAAAGTTGGGAAACTCATTTACCGTTGATAGAATTCGCATACAATAATAGTTACCATTCGAGTATTGGAATGGCACCCTATGAAGCTCTGTATGGAAGACCGTGTCGTTCTCCCGTGTGTTGGGTTGAGGTTGGAGATAAATCTTTACTAGGGCCTGAAATCGTTCAGTTGACAATTGAAAAGGTTAAAATCATTCAGGAAAGACTGAAGACTGCTTAAAGTAGGCAGAAGAGTTATGCGGATAACCGACGAAGAGATTTGGAGTTCAAAGTGGATAGTCATGTCTTTGTGAAAGTCACTCCGATAAAGGGCCACCCAAGATTCGGAAAGAGGGGTAAGTTGACACCCCGGTATGTTGGTCCCTTTCAGATTCTGGAAAGAGTGGGTCTGGTAGCTTACCGAGTTGCCCTTCCGCCACATATGAGTCAAGTGCATAACGTGTTTTATGTCTCCATGCTTCGCGGATATCTTCCAGATCCATCACACGTCATTGAGGATCCGTCGCATGTCATTGATTACCACCAAATTGAGTTGGATGACAAGTTAATTTACGAAGAAAAACCAATCCGCATTTCGGACCGACAAGTAAAATAATTACGAAACCGTGAGATTCCAATGGTAAAATTTGAGTGGCAAGGACATTACGGAACCGATGCAACGTGGGAAAGAGAGGAGGAAATGCAACACCAATACCCACACCTGTTTCAATCCTAAGGTAAAACAAGTTTGGAGGACCAAACTTATTTAAGGGGGGGAGAGTGTAATAACCCGACCCTCGTCCATGTTTTCTGATATATTTTCAGCCCTTGTTTTGTGCTTTTAAAATGTTTACTGTGGAATCCCATGAAAAATTATCGTTAAGTAAGTGAAATTTCCTAAGGTGGGGAGTTTGTAACACCCGCATCCTTTAAATCCTTTGGAGAGTGTATGTAATTCCCTTATTTTCATTTTGGGAGTCTTTGGAGTTGTGAATGTTGGTTTTGGAGGAGTGTAATCCGATTTAATCTTGTTGGGTTTGGTTGTTCACATTTGTTCGGGTTAAAAGTTCCTCGGAAACTTAGAAATTTTGCCTTGGGGTCGACACTAGCCTTCTTAAGGGTCGACCCTTGCATGTTGTAATGTTCCTGGGAGTGCCACTGGAAACTAGGGTCGACACCAGCCTTGGTGGTGTCGACACTTCCCTCTTGTTCCTGCCCACAAGGGTCGACACCATTCTGGGAAGGGTCGACCCTTGTTTATTGCAGAATCTGTGTGTGTTGGTTGCTGGAAATTAGGGTCGACCCTGTCCTGTCTAGGGGTCGACACCATGCTTGGTGCACAGATTGTTTTTCTTCTTAGAGGGTCGACACCTCTGCCCGAAGGGTCGACCCCTGCGTGTTTTTTTTTCAGATTTTTGGGCTGGTTTGGGCCTTACTTTTGAGGGGTTTTGGGCCCATTATTTTATTGGCCTTAGGGCTACATCTCTACTACTATAAATAGGCTCAAAACATATTTTCATTTCATTTTTCTCCTCTTTCCTCTCTCTCAAACCGTGAGTTCTTCTCTCTCTCTCCAAACTCAAGCTTTGGCACTAAGATCTCTAGATCTACTCACCTAGAGTGTTTGTTTCACCGTGGTCCTTTGAGAAAAAGTGTAGATCTTGTCAAAAGCTTCCTTTAAGTTGGATTGGTTCGCGGCTTCGTCGCCTTTGGTTTTTGGGTCGTCATCTCTTGGCTTCAAAAGGACACACTCCAGGAGGAAGTAGCACGTCATCACAACACTGTGAGTAATAGTATACGGAATGTACATTTACTTACCGTTAATATCTGTTATGACCATTCTGTTTTCTGCTAAACACAACATTAACATATGTATTGATTGGTACTTGGTGGCAATGTAAGGTTGAAAAAATTATGTACATTTCTGATATTTCTGGGCCGAAAGGCTGTTCAGTATATTTCTAGGCCGAAAGGCTGTTCTGTATACTTCTGGGCTGAAAGGCCATTCTGTATTTCTGGGCCAGTAGGCCGTTCTGTTATAACTAGGCCCAAGGCCGTTCTGGAAAATAAAACAGCATCAGACTAACTACTTGGAATCCACTTTTGTGTATGCACTGTTCTATATTAT